TGTGTTGGCTTCAACATCCTGCATTAGACATTTATAGCAGGGTGTTACACATACAAACATTTTTCAGAAAAAAACATTCAAAGCAAACCGGACAGACTTCCATTCCTTCCAGCATAATTATTAAAAAGGGCCACAATGGAAGAAAAAAAACTGAACTCTTGCAAGGGAAAATATGGGATCTTCAGGAATGAACTGTGGTGTCCAGAGAGGTGAAATACAGATGGTGTTGAGTCACAGACGTTCCTTTACATTGAGTGTTGCAGGAAACAGCTTGGGCACAATACCTTGAAAGCTCATTGCATTTTGAATTTGTTCTAATCTTTGAAAAGTGTGTGTCATATTCCCTTATTTACTTCAAATGTGACCCTGTAGGCTAAGCATTGAAGCTCTTCCACTGCTAGCAAGGTTCTGGAAGTTCACTTCTTCAGCATGTACAGTTGTGGCCAAAATTATTCAACCCCCAATGCTGTAAAGGGGTTTAGGGACTATAGTGTACATTTGGAATTGTATTCAGAATCAAATCCTACAAGGACGTTGTAAACTACCCAAATGCAACTAAAATGACATCAATTGTTTATGTAATACAGTAGTAAATGGTTCTTATGTGGTTTTCTTCATTGCCACAATTATTCAACCCCTTAAAGACTACCACTCTGAAGAACAGAGGTTCATACAGGTGCTTTCCATCAGGTATTGAAAACACCTGTGGATGTCACCGAGCAGCAATCAAGCATAATAAGCACCAATTAGGCAGCTTTAAAATGACTGTGATACTCAGCTCCTTCTAGACATTTACTGGTGTGGTTACAAACATGGTGAAGGCAAGAGAATGGTCCAGGAAGACAAGAGAAGAGGTGATTTCTCTTCACAGGAAGGGCAATGGCTATAAGAAGATTGCAAAGATGTTAAACATACCAAGAGACACCTTAGGAAGCATCATTCGCAAATTCAAGGCAAAGGGCACTGTTGAAACGCTACCTGGTCGTGGCAGAAAGAAGATGCTGACTTCGACTGCTGTGCGCTACCTGAAGCGTAGAGTGGAGAGAAGTCCCCGTGTGACTGCTGAGGAACTGAGAAAAGATTTGTCAGATGTGGGTACAGAAGTTTCAGCCCAGACAATAAGACGCACACTGCGTAATGAAGGCCTCCGTGCCAGAACTCCCAGGCGTACCCCCTTGCTGTCTCCAAAGAATAAGAAGAGTCGACTGCAGTATGCCAAAAGCCATGTGGACAAACCACAAAAGTTGTGGGATAGTGTTCTGTGGACTGATGAAACAAAATTAGAACTGTTTGGGCCCATGGATCAACGCTATGTTTGGAGGAGGAAGAACAAGGCCTATGATGAAAAGAACACCTTGCCTACTGTGAAGCATGGTGGAGGGTCAATCATGCTTTGGGGCTGTTTTGCTTCTGCAGGTACAGGGAAGCTTCAGCGTGTGCAAGGTACCATGAATTCTCTTCAGTACCAGGAGATATTGGATGGAAACGTGATGCAGTCCGTCACACACCTGAGGCTTGGGAGACGTTGGACCTTTCAACAGGACAATGATCCCAAGCATACCTCCAAGTCCACTAGAGCATGGTTGCAGAGGAAAGGCTGGAACATTTTGGAGTGGCCATCGCAGTCACCAGACTTAAATCCGATTGAGAACCTCTGGTGGGACTTAAAGAAAGCAGTTGCAGTGCGCAAGCCTAAGAATGTGACTGAACTGGAGGCCTTTGCCCATGAAGAATGGGCGAAGATACCCGTAGATCGCTGCAAGACACTTGTGTCAAGCTATGCTTCACGTTTAAAAGCTGTTATAACTGTAAAAGGATGCTGTACTAAGTACTAAGATTGAATGTCACTTGGGGGTTGAATAAAACTGATAATGCTGTGAGCACAGAAAAGACATTTGTGGTTATTTCATTATAACTGTTATGTTATATTTGTCTGACCTACAAGTGCCTCTTTAATGTAAATGTAAGCAAGATGACTGAATGATCAAAAGCAATGTCAAACTGGCCAAAACACTCAATTTCAGTGGGGGTTGAATAATTTTGGCCACAACTGTATAAGAATAAATAAACAGCCTTACCACGGTGACATGCATGATTCTCAAACAAACATTTGCTTCATGGTTTAACTCTGATCCGTTTTTCACCCTTTGGCCAAACTCTTTGGAATGTGTTCAGCTTTCTTGTGGGAAGGCTGGCTGGTGAGTGGCTCCCAGCAGCTAGTATAATGGAAAGGCCTTCTGTTGGCTTGCTTGGAAATAGAAAGATAAAATTCAAAAGTCCAGCACACTGTATCTTTTTTTTTTTTGTGTAAAATTTAATTTTTTTGAGAGTTGTCCACGAAAGCAATTGCAGCACTGAAATATGTTTCATACAGTCTTAAACAGGTCTCAAATATGTAAGTACTTTTATGGACAACTCTCAATAAAGTGGAACTTTGCCTGGCAAGATGAGTGTGCTAGACTTTCCAATTTGATTTCACTAAGAGTGTTGGCAACACTGTTCGTGCAGATAGAGAAAGAGAGACATGCCCATGGTAGGTGACCTCTGATATTTTGTACTTCTTAAAGTACAGAGCCTTTCCCTTACACCCTATGGTAGAGAGAGTGCAGCCTTTCACTTACAACCTATGGTACAGAGAGTGGAGCCTTTTCCTTACACCAAAGGGAGTGAAGCCTTTTCCTTACACCCTGTGGTAGACAGAGTGGAGCTTTACCTTATACCCTATGGTAGAGAGAGTGGAGCCTTTCCCTCGCAACCTATGGTAGAAAGAGTGGCACCTTTCCCTCACACCCTATGGTAGAAAGAGTGGCGCTTTTCCCTTACAACCTATGGTGGAACGAGTGGAGACTTTCATTCACAACATATGGTGGAAAGAGTGGAGCCTTTCCTTCACAACCTATGTTGGAAAGAGTGGAGCCTTTCCTTCACAACCTATAGTGGAAAAAGTGGAGCCTTTCCTTCACAACCTATGGTGGAAAGAGTGGAGCCTTTCCCTCACAACCTATGGTGGAAAGAGTGAAGCCTTTTCCTTACACACCATGGTAGAAAGAGTGGAGCATTTTCCTTACACACCATAGAAATTGAAGGCTATGGTAGAAAGAGAGAAGCCTTTTCCTTATACCCAATGGTAAAATGAGTGGCGCCTTACCCTCACAACCTAGTGTGGAAAGAGTGGAGCCATTCTCTTACAACCTATGGTGGAAAGAGTGAAGCCTTTTCCTTACACACCATGGTAGATAGAGTGGAGCCTTTAAATTACACCCTATGGTAGAAAGAGAGAAGCCTTTTCCTTATACCCAATGGTAGAGAGAGTGAAGCCTTTCCCTCACAACCTATGGTAGAAAGAGTGGCGCCTTTCCCTCACAACCTAGAGTGGAAAGAGTGGAGCTATTCTCTTACAACCTATGGTGGAAAGAGTGGAGCATTTTCCTTACACACCATGGTAGAGAAAGTGGAGCCTTTTACTTACAACCTACATACAGAGAGTGGAGCCTTTACCTTAAACCATATGGTAGAGAGGGTGGAGCCTTTTCCTTGTACCCTATGGTAGAGTGAGTGGAGCCTTTCACTTACAACTTGTGGTACAGAGAGTGGATCCTTTTGTCAGGGCTCCCAGGTATGACCAGAGATGTGTGACTGATGCAGGGAAACGCAGACTTCAGAAATGTGATAAACAATATAATTTATTTAACACTAACCATACAAACATAAACGCAGGGCAATACTAAACATAATACAGTGCAAACAAACCAAACCAACCACCCACAGATAACAGTACACACAAGCAAGCGTCGTCAGGCAGGCCGGGTCAATATCAATTGGGCAGGTAGGTACGGGGGGAGCAAGCAGAGAATGGTCGGGGTCACAGGCCAGGTTCAGCAGGTAGCAAGCAGCGAGGTACAGAGGGTCAGACAGAGGGGTGGTCAGGGTCACAAGCCAGGATCAGAGCAGGAGAAGTCAGCAGCAGTTCAGATCAGGGTCAGCAAAGGAACAGAAACAGGATGCAGGACAGATACAGGGCCCAGGACAAACACAACACCAAGGCAGAGTCTGCAAGTCTGGCCATCCCTTAAAATACCCCAGTATCATCAGTTCCAGGTGTTAGCTGGCTGAAAGGTTGAGTCTCTGATTGCTGGGAGCACCCCGCTGGCCAGCCCTGGTACTGCAGATCAAAAGGCAGGTGAGTCCCACCATTGCTGGCCAGTCCATTCCTAACAGTACCCCCCCCCCTCAAGGAGCGGCCTCAGGACGCTCCAAACAGTCCTAGCTGGGCAAAATGTTCCACCGCCCGGGTCTGGCAACTGGCGGGATAGCAAAGACTGGCACACCGGGCAGGACTCCGGGCAGCGGCACACCGGGCTGGACTCCGGGCAGCGGCACATCGAGCAGAGGCACTCCGGGCAGAGGCACACCGGGCAGAGACACATCGGGCAGGACTCCGGGCAGAGGCACACCGGGCAGAGACACATCGGGCAGGACTCCGGGCAGAGGCACATCGGGCAGAGGCACATCGGGCAGGACTCCGGGCAGAGGCACATCGGGCAGGACTCCGGGCAGAGGCACATCGGGCAGAGGCACATCGGGCAGAGGCACATCGGGCAGGATTCCGGGCAGAGGCACATCGGGCAGGACTCCGGGCAGAGGCACATCGGATTACCAGGCGAAGCAGCAGGCAGCGGGCCCCCGGGCGGGGGGGCGACAGGCACCGGGCCCCCGGGCGGGGCGACAGGCACCGGGCCCCCCGGGCGGAGCAGCAGGCACCGGGCCCCCGGGCGGAGCAGCAGGCACCGGGCCCCCGGGCGGAGCAGCAGGCACCGGGCCCCCGGGCGGAGCAGCAGGCACCGGGCCCCCGGGCGGAGCAGCAGGCACCGGCCCCCGGGCGGGGCGACAGGCACCGTGCCCCCAGGCGGGGCGACAGGCATCGTGCCCCCAGGCGGGGCGACAGGCATCGTGCCCCCAGGCGGGGCGACAGGCATCGTGCCCCCTGGCGGGGCGACAGGCATCGTGCCCCCTGGCGGGGCGACAGGCATCGTGCCCCCAGGCGGGGCGACAGGCATCGTGCCCCCAGGCGGGGCGACAGGCATCGTGCCCCCAGGCGGAGCGGCGGGCGCCGGACCCCCAGGCGGAGCGACAGGTCTCGGGCCCTCAGGCGGAGCGCGGCGGGCGCCGGACCCCCAGGCGGAGCGACAGGTCTCGGGCCCTCAGGCGGAGCGGCGGGCGCCGGACCCCCAGGCGGAGCGACAGGTCTTGGGCCCTCAGGCGGAGCGGCGGGCGCCGGACCCCCAGGCGGAGCGACAGGTCTCGGGCCCATAGGCGGAGCGGCGGGCGCCGGACCCCCAGGAGGAGCGACAGGTCTCGGGCCCTCAGGCGGAGCGGCGGGCGCCGGACCCCCAGGTGGAGCGACAGGTCTCGGGCCCTCAGGCGGAGCGGCGGGTGCCGGACCCCAGGTGGAGCGACAGGTCTCGGGCCCTCAGGCGGAGCGGCGGGCGCCGGACCCCCAGGTGGAGCGACAGGTCTCGGGCCCTCAGGCGGAGCGGCGGGCGCCGGACCCCCAGATGGAGCGACAGGTCTCGGGCCCTCAGCGGGAGCGGCGGGCGCCGGACCCCCAGGTGGAGCGACAGGTCTCGGACCCTCAGGCGGAGCGACAGGTCTCAGGCCCCCAGGCGGAGCGGCGGGCGCCGGATCCCCAGGCGGAGCGGCAGGCGCTGGAACCCCAAGCGGAGCAACAGGTCTCGGGCCCCAGGCGGAGCGGCGGCACCGAGTCACCAGGCACGACAGTGGGCTCCGAGTCAACTGGTATGACCGCAGGCACTGGGTCAGACATTGTATGGTCTGGCTGGACAGCGGGCATCGGGTCACCAGGCATCAGGTCATTTGGCTCGACAGCGGGCACCGCGTCATCTGGCAAGGCAGTGGGCTCCGAGTCAACTGGTATGACCGCAGGCACTGGGTCAGACATTGTATGGTCTGGCTGGACAGTGGGCATCGGGTCACCAGGCATCAGGTCATTTGGCTCGACAGCGGGCACCGCGTCATCTGGCAAGGCAGTGGGCTCCAAGTCAACTGGTATGACCGCGGGCACTGGGTCAGACATTGGATCGTCTGACTGGACAGCGGGCACTGGGTCACCAGGCATCAGGTCATTTGGCTCGACAGCGGGCACCGTGTCATCCGGCAAGGCAGTGGGCTCCGAGTCAACTGGTATGACCGCGCGGGCACTGGGTCAGACATTGGATCGTCTGACTGGACAGCGGGCACTGGGTCACCAGGCATCAGGTCATTTGGCTCGACAGCGGGCACCGCGTCATCTGGCAAGGCAGTGGGCTCCAAGTCAACTGGTATGACCGCGGGCACTGGGTCAGACATTGGATCGTCTGACTGGACAGCGGGCACTGGGTCACCAGCGCATCAGGTCATTTGGCTTGACAGCGGGCACCGCGTCATCTGGCAAGGCAGTGGGCACCGGGTCACCAGGCATTGGATCGTCTGGCTCGACAGCGGGCATCGGGTCACCAGGTATGACAGCGGGCACTGGTCACCAGGCATCAGGTCATTTGGCTTGCCAGCAGGCCACCGCGTCATCTGGCAAGGCAGTGGGCACCGGGTCACCAGGTATGACAGCGGGCTCTGAGTCAATTGGCACGACAGCGGGCACTGGAATCAGGTACCGGATCATCTGGATCAACAGCGGGCATCGAGTCAACTGGCCTAATAGGATCGTCGGGCTGGATCAGTTCATCATGCTGAGTAGCGGCATCAGGCTGAATGCAGGCATCAGGCTGAGGAGAGGCTTCAGGCTGAGGAGAGGCATCCGGCTGAGGAGAGGCATCCGGCTGAGGAGAGGCATCCGGCTGAAGAGAGGCATCCGGCTGAAGAGAGGCATCCGGCTGAAGAGAGGCATCCGGCTGAAGAGAGGCATCCGGCTGAAGAGAGGCATCCGGCTGAAGAGAGAGGCATCCGGCTGAAGAGAGGCTTCAGGCCGAGTAGAGGCTTCAGGCCGAGTAGAGGCTTCAGGCCGAGTAGAGGCTTCAGGCCGAGTAGAGGCTTCAGGCCGAGTCACGGAAGGCAGGCTCACCGGTTTGGATACTGGCAGGATGGTATTGGTTGGAAAGAATTTTCGCTTTTTTCTGGTTTTAACTACTGGAGCACTGCAAGTAAACGCAGGTCTGCAAACGAATGGAGCACCTGGAGACAGAGAAGAACTGGAGGATGGAACAGGAGAGGGAGCAGTTGCTACAGAGGGGCTCTTTTACAGGGTTAAAGGCAGGATAGGTGCAGCGAGTGGGAACAGGGGACTGACATGCGGTAGATAGCAGGGCAGGAGGAGCTGGTGGGAATACAGGAGTAGAGTTAGAAGCAGGACTGGGTCTTTTTGTAAGCTGACTGAGGCTGGGTGCAACAAGTCTGTCCATGTCTGCAGTAGGGGTTGAACAAAGCTGAGCTTACACAAAGCCTGTCTGGTCAATGACTGCACTGCGTTGATACAATCTCTTAGTGTCTGTGGTGAACATGTGGAGTAATGCTCCAAAAGGTAACCCACATCATCCTCTAATAACCACACCAGGGACTCTACCTGGTCTGCACTAAATGGTGGCAAAAATTCATCCCTGCATTCGGGGGAACCAGATGAAACCAACTCTGCACAAACCTCAATCAATGGCTGCACCTCAGAGAACACTGTGCCCTGATCTACTAGAACATGAGCGAGCCGTATACATTCTAGCAATTCATCCCGGGGATACTCCTTCAGAGTTTGATAAGCATACTCCCTGTCATCAAACACTAGCAGATATAAATATACTCAACCTCCTCAAGATCCATCCTTCCCATCAACAAGCCAAGATGGCTTCCCTGTGCAGCCACTTCTGGTCAGGATTGGCCTTGGTGTAATGTCAGGGCTCCCAGGTATGACCAGAGATGTGTGACTGATGCAGGGAAACGCAGACTTCAGAAATGTGATAAACAATATAATTTATTAACACTAACCATACAAACATAAACGCAGGGCAATACTAAACATAATACAGTGCAAACAAACCAAACCAACCACCCACAGATAACAGTACACACAAGCAAGCGTCGTCAGGCAGGCCGGGTCAATATCAATTGGGCAGGTAGGTACGCGGGGAGCAAGCAGAGAATGGTCGGGGTCACAGGCCAGGTTCAGCAGGTAGCAAGCAGCGAGGTACAGAGGGTCAGACAGAGGGTGGTCAGGGTCACAAGCCAGGATCAGAGCAGGAGAAGTCAGCAGCAGTTCAGATCAGGGTCAGCAAAGGAACAGAAACAGGATGCAGGACAGATACAGGGCCCAGGACAAACACAACACCAAGGCAGAGTCTGCAAGTCTGGCCATCCCTTAAATACCCCAGTATCATCAGTTCCAGGTGTTAGCTGGCTGAAAGGTTGAGTCTCTGATTGCTGGGAGCACCCGCTGGCCAGCCCTGGTACTGCAGATCAAAAGGCAGGTGAGTCCCACCATTGCTGGCCAGTCCATTCCTAACACCTTTCCTTTACACCATATGGTAGAAGGAGTGGACCCTTTCACTTATAATCTATGGTAGAGCGAGTGGAGCAAGTCCAGTACCACCACTCAGCCGTTGCACAGAAGAGCTCAGAAATGCTTCCCAGTCAACAGCAAGCCATGCCATGTGAAAGAGGAAGCGGTTCATGTTGGAGCACAAGTAGTTGATGGCAGAGGTTAGGAAGGGGGCTGTCAAGTTGTTTGGAAAGTTTAGTTATCTGTTAAATGAAACAGTAAATGAATCCATTTGAAGGCAAATCAGATCTAGCATGATGAACCATTAGACGGAGAGGGAAACGGGAAGTCTCTGCGGTTTTACATTTACATAATATTACTTATCAACAGTCATTTTTATTCAGCCTTTACATATCAGCTTTATCATGACGGTTCATTGGAAACTATTACATCAAGTTCAGGAGAAGGTTTACCTGGAAGTAAAACTGCCTCCAAAATTCAGTTTGCTGTTCTTATCCACCACAAGGAGCTTTTCTGATAAATACACAGATTTATCTGAATGTGCAATTTTGTAAGGCGATTGCTTCAAAAATCCAATCACAGGTGTGAGAAACGTCTGTAATGTGGTCTGTTATATTTGCTAGGTACAAATATGGGAAACAAATCTTTGTGAGTTTCGCTAATCTCAGTAAAAGAATATAACATGAAATCAGGTAGTATGTTATGATGTGAAAATTATAAAAAAAAAAACAAAACAACATTACAAAACAAATTATAATTTTTCACTAATGAACATATGAAGGTTCTCCTTTAAAAACAGTATAATGCATCATTCTTTATTTCATTGTCTAGCGAATCATTTTTCTTTTCTTTTTTTTGTAGACAGAAGCTGCAATGGATGCAATGCACAAGCAGAAACAGCTGCAGTATAAAAGGACAATGGATGCAAGTATCATATTCATGTTACATATTAAATGTATACAGTGCCTTGAAAATGTAATCATACCCCTTGAAATTTTCCACATTTTGTCATGCTACAGCCAAAAAACGTAAATGTATTTTATTGGAATTTTATGTGAGGTAGATCAACACAAAGTGGGAAGTGGAAGGAAAATTATAAATGTTTTTTTTTTTTTTTTTTACAAATAAAATATCTGAAAAGTGTGGCATGCATTTGTATTCAGCTCCCTTTACTCTGATATCCCTAACTAAAATCTAGTGGAACCAATTGCCTTCAGAAGTCACCTAATTAGTAAATAGAGCTTATCTGTGTGTGATTTAATCTCAGTATAAATACAGCTGTTCTGTGAAGCCCTCAGAGGTTTGTTAGAGAACATTAGTGAACAAACAGCATCATGAAGGCCAAGGAACACACCAGACAGGTCAGGGATAAAGTTGTGGAGAAGTTTAAAGCAGGGTTAGGTTATAAAAAAATCCCAAGCTTTGAACATCTCACGGAGCACTATTCAATCCATCCAAAAATAGAGTATGGCACAACTGCAAACCTACCAAGACATGTCCGTCCACCTAAACTGACAGGTCGGGCAAGGAGAACATTCATCAGAGAAGCAGCCAAGAGGCCCATGGGAACTCTGGAGGGGCTGCAGAGATCCACAGCTCAGGTGGGATAATCTGTCCACAGGACAATTATTAGACGTGCACTCCACACAAATCTGACCTTTATGGAAGAGTGGCAAGAAGAAAGTCATTGTTGAAAGAAAGCCATAAAAAGTCCCATTTGTAGTTTGTGAGAAGCCATGTGGGGGACACAGCAAACATGGAAGAAGGGGCTCTGGTCAGAGGAGACCAAAATTTAACTTTTTAGCCTAAAAGCAAAGCGATGTGTGTGGCGAAAAACTAACACTGCACATCACTTTGAACACACCATCCCCACTGTGAAACATGGTGGTGGCAGCATCAAATTGAGGGGATGCTTTTCCTCAGCAGGGACATGGAAGCTGGTCAGAGTTGATGAGAAGATGGATGGAGCCGAATACAGGGTAATCTTAAAAGAAAACCTGTTAGTGTCTGCAAAAGACTTGAGACCGGGGCGAAGGTTCACCTTCCAGCAGGACAACAACCCGAAAACACCCAAACAGAGCTACAATAGAATGGTTCAGATCAAAGCATCTTCATGTGTTAGAATGGCCCAGTCACAGTCCAGACCTAAATCCAACTGAGAATCTGTGACAAGACTTGAAAATTGCTGTTCCCAGACGCTCTCCGTCCAATCTGAGAGAGCTTCAGCGATTCTCCAAAGAAGAATGGGCAGAAATGTCCCTCTCTAGATGTGCAAAGCTGGTAGAGACATCCCCAAAAAGACTTGCAGCTGGAACTGCAGCCAAAGAGGGTCCTACAAAGTATTG